TAGGGACTTACAAAAAGATATGCCAGCTCTCTGGTGCCCAATCTGGAAACGTTCTGGGCAGCCTTTTCGTCGAGGGCGCCCTCTATGAGCTCGCGCTTCTTGTCCTGCAGGGCGAGGATACGGTCCTCGACGGTATTTGGGACGAGGATGCGATGGATCTGGACCTCGCGCATCTGGCCGATGCGGTGGGCACGGTCGATCGCTTGCTCTTCGATGTACGGGTTCCAGAAGGGGTCGAAGATGATGACCTGCGAGGCGGCGACGAGGTTCAAGCCCGAGTTGCCGGCCTTGAGGGACACCAGCATGATCTTGCACTCTGGGTTGTCGGTGAAGTCGAGCACGGCTGCGTTGCGGTCTGCGGGCTTCATGCTGCCGTCGTAGCGCCTGTAGCCCCATCCCCGGCGCGAGACGGGCACCTCTAACAGGTCGAGCAGCGAGGTGAACTGGCTGAAGATGATGGTCTTTTCGCCCTCGCCTCGCTCCTGGATCGCTTCAAGGACCTCCAGGGTCTTTTCGATCTTGGCGCTCGTCACCCACGTCTTCTCCAGACGGCGCAGATACTTGCGCTTCGATTTCTGATTTTTCGAGGCCTCCTTTTTAAGCTGGGCAAGCGTCTTCTTGATCTTCTTCTGCTTGCCCTTGCCTTTGGCTGGGCGTTTCTTTTTCTGAGAAGAGCCGTCCCCTCCTTCTTCTTCCTCATCATTGTTGTCAATGTCCTCGCTGTCGCCAACATTATCCGGGACAATAAAACGCGATAGACTACCAAGGTCTTCCTCATCATCACTGTCATCGTCACTGTCACTGTCGTCCTCTGCTTCTGTCGCTTTGGAGGCTTCTCCTGCTTCCTCCGCTGACGCTGCATCGCCGGGTCCCTCTGAATAATGAACCTTTCGAAATGTATTGTGATCTGTCACCTTCTTCGGGTCCACTTTCCCACGGCAGTTCGGACATTTGACCTCCACCGTGCCATCGTTCCCTTGTTGGACGGCCAGGGCCGGATCGGAGATCCTGGAGAAGCACTCGGCACAGGTACTGTGGCCGCAAGGAAAGAAGATAACCGGGTTCTCGACCGCGTCGATACAGATCGGGCATTCTAGGTCGTCGTTGTCTTTTAGACGGACAACGACTTCCTTGCCGAACTGCTCCGCGTTGAAGACAAGATCTATCTCGTCGGTATTGGCACTCGCCTCGACGCTGAAATCGGACATCAAGTGAGGGTGGCAACACGCTTGGCGCAGCCGGAGGAGCAGAACCAGAATATTGGAATAGTTCCGGCCCACGCTGCCGGCGTTGAGATACCTGTTGAACTGCAGCTGTGTTTTGTTCTCTAGGGAACTGTACAGCGCCTCTTCATCCTCACTAAATACCGCATGGACCTTCTCTGTGACTCTCGGTGGGAGCTGCAGAATGGGCTTTCCGTCAATCTTGGAGGATTTGGTGCGTCGCAACAACACTGCGCGAAGTAAGGCTTGCAGCTGTTTCATTGCCGTTTCTTGTGCGGCGCCGCTGGCGCTCTTCAAAGGCCTTGTAAATACCTAGACATATCAATCAGTGTAAGAAAGAGCAAAACAAAATACAGGAAGAATTTGCGAGGGGGGGGGTTTTTTTCTTTTCTTTCCTTTTCTTTCCTTTTTTTCAAACTTACCATATTAAATCTCTCCAGATCATTGTAAGGTTTGATGCGTAGGAACTTGAGCAAGGAATGCAGCTCCTCAACACTATTCATCATCGGTGTACCACTCATGCACCATCTGTATGTGGCGTTGATCTCGCAGCAGGCCAAGGCAGCTTTGGTATTCCGATTCTTGATACACTGGGCCTCGTCGATGATGACCCGATGCCATTTACAACCCTGGCCAAGAACGGGGAGGATGAACTTGCGTCCGACAAGGCCTCCACGTTTCAGGGAATCCTCCCATTCTTTCTTGCGCTTTAGTTCCGACGCCATTGTTCCAAAAGTAGTGAGCACAATGTCGTTCTTCCGGAGGTCTTTGAAGCTCACAGCCCGCCGGTCGCCATGCAACACGTAAACACTCCGTTGATGCCGCCCAGGCTTGAGCATCCGTTCGATCTCGCGTTTCCACTGTTGCATCAGCGATACCGGGGCGATAATGAGGGTCGACTTGTTTTCAGGATCGTCCGAGGGGCGGGAGACAATCAAAGAAAGGGCTTGGATAGTCTTTCCCAAGCCCATATCGTCCGCGAGGATTCCTCCCTTGGACTCGCCCTCTTCCATGGACTTCATCCAGGAGAGGCCTAACTTTTGGTGCTCCATCAACGAGAATTTCAGGGCCTCAGGGGTACCCTCACGGTTTACTGAGTCAAGCTCAGAGTCGGGTCTGATATTTTCAAGCAGCTGTTTGATTTCTTCCTGAGTTTTCTTTGGGTCGAAGGCAAGGGAATCTCTGTTGACAAGAGGTTAGCGAAGACATGAGGGTGAGGGGGGGGGAAAATGAAATAAAAAGAGCGGCATTTCATAACCAGAAGAGCTCGCTTGAGTACTACGCACGGTAAGTAACCAATATTAGATTCATAGTCGTGTCGACTGGATCCAGGCGTTAGCCCGGGCAAGCGTCCGTGCGCAAGCATAGCATCCATAGAAGAGGGGAATCTGCCGGGCATTATTGTGTTTAAGAAATTAGGATTCTCTCTGATCGCTCTCTCGACCCGGTATCTCGCCAAAGTATTATGAATCACATTTGGACCGTACACCCCGGGCATGCCAGGGCCCGGTGACAGCGATGTACGCCCCATTTGCTCCGAGTATCGGGACTGTCCCTGGTGGTTTGAAGAGATACCGTCTATCCACGGGTACCGAGCCGAGTAAGTGGCATTTGGACCAAGATAGTCTTGCAACGCGGAGGGGTTTCCTGTCCGGCGCTGAAGATTGCGACCAAAGTCGAAATGCGAGATCTCCTCCAGATCCTCGTCATCGTCCCAAGCCTCGTCATCGCTATCTGGTAAATGAATGACTGGGGAACGGTGATGGACAAATTGGGCCTGGTTCGACGAGGATGGGTGGGGATGGGAGTGAGCAAGGCCAGCGTTCCGCCCTCCCAGCGATCGGAAAGGTGAGGGGGACTCTGGGACCGGCTCCTGAATCATCACACTGGAGTTTGGTCGCAAGGGAGCCGGTGCTGTGTACGGAGGACCGGAGTTGGAAGCAACCGGTGGCGAGCTTCTCAAGGAATCCGACTGCGACAGTTCTGCTGCTGGTGGATCGTACAAGCCTTCCTGAAGCATACGGGCATACTCTGCGTCTCGGCGCTCCTGTTCCTTACGTTCCTGCAGCCACTGCTCGGCCTTTCTTTGCTCCTCGAGAAACCCGTCATCATCATCGAAACCGAGCAGTTTGCGCAACTCCTCGGAGCTATCTGCGGAGTCGTTTGGCTCCTCAGACCCACTGCGAGTAGATGCGATAGACGGAGTAATAGATGCAGACCGCGGGTGTGTGGGTGTGGTTCGTTTCGACACCGGTTCCAATGGGTCGCTCAGGTTTGCATCTCCACGCGTACGCTTGCGTGTAGGCAGCGGCTGTAAAAATCGAGAAGACGGCTGAGCAGCCGGGCGCGATGTCAAGGCTTGCGCTGGAGGGGACATGGCTGTTGACGAGGCCTGTAAAGGGCGCAGATCATCCAGAGGGTCCGAGCTGCCGTCCATCTGCGCCCGAGAGAAAGCCGAACTCGATGATGGCGGACGAGCAACAGGTTGTCGAACTGTTTCGCCCCGCATTTCCGCCAGACGCGACTCTAACTTCCTGATGGTCTCACGCAGTTCGTCGCGCTCCGCAAGAGCATCAGGCCGTTCTTCCTCCAGACTGCTCAGCAAGACTTGATACAACTGCAGATCTTCCATAACATCTTCCGCGGACGCATTTGGCGGCGGGGAAGCCATTATGGAGGGGGGGAAAAAAAGAGAAGAAGAAGGAAAGAAGGCTATTCTTATAAGGAACTCATGGACTTTCCAAGAAGTAGGCTGGCATGTAAGGTAAGATAAGCGGATTGTCTCCAGCCAATGGTCTGGACCAGGCTGGCAGGCAGCGAGCTCAGTCAGTAGGAGGCCTCAAACAAAAACGGTGCCTAGTGTTCTCTTTGGACAGGTTCCTTTTTTTGACCTTCATTCCATTTGTCGGGCTCAAGCAAGGCTGAGTGGGTGTTTGCTGCAGAATGAGTTGCGGCGAGGTTGTAATGTTCCAATTGATATGTCAGATTG